TTTCTTTTTTTCAGTCTCAAAAAGTTTATCACATTCATATAACACAAATGTATGCAATGAACTAAACATAGCAATGTCAGCAGAGACAACTATATACACACAGTAAATTTCTTAAATTCAAATTATATATAATAAATTAAGATAAATTTGAATGCTTGGGAATTTGGAGTAATCTAAATATTATAATTAAGGTTCTCAAGCATCACACTCTAATTGATTGAATAATACAATCAAGGCATTGAGCAAATTCACAAGTTAATTTGTATTGACTGATAACAATCTCAAAAGTAAGCTCCCAAATAGGACTAAACCAAGGATTTTCAAAGTATAGACAATAAATACTAATACTACTAGGAAATAAATACTACTACTACTATAAGAATAGGAAAAGTAGTTAAGTTACCTAGAAAAATATAATGTAAACCCTAAATAGTTCAAACACTAAAATAAAAGCTATTTCTTAAATAATATGCGCCATCAATTCTCTCTAGGTGGGAAAAACCGGGCTTTCTTGAGTTGAAATCATAGAACTTCACCTGAAGATCATGTTTGAGCTGCTTGATTTCAGCTTATGGGATCCAGTCGTAATCATGATTTAGAAGTCCCTTCCGTACTATGAAGTGTGACAAGTAATGCTTTGCATAGTAAACTCTTGATATCAGCAATATCTTCTATCCCTATGAGGCTTGTAGAGATCGGTAAATTAACAGGGTTACCATCTAAAGGAGTAATAAGATCATGTCCTTTATGAGTCTAAATATACGTCAGTAGGGATGTCAAATTCTTAACATTGAAGACTTTACTAATGCCATAGCTTCTAAGAAGTTGAAAACATAAGTTTTTGAGCTAATTTTCTTAAGAGTTTTATAAGGGCCAATGTTTTGGGAGTGATGTAACACCTTCCTAAACTTACCAGACTTGATTCGCACCATGACCATGTCTCCTTTCACTAAATCAGCAACTATTCTTCTTCAATCGACAAAGCCTTGTACCTGTTAGAAGTCTATCGTTATACTTTTAGTAACTTTAGGATTTTACTCTTATTAGTATTTTTTTCTATTCGTATTAGTAGTATTATTTCCTAATCCTATTAGTATTACTATTACTATTTCTCAATCTAATGTTATTGGATAAAGATTATTTAAGAAACATTATAGTTATCTTTATAATTTCATTTTTTGAGATAGACTTCTACTATTCAATGAAGCACTTCCAGAGTTCCTCAGTTTTTTAGTCTAGTAATGAAATCAAATCCTTTGTTTAATGGTTAAAACTTTTTATATATGATACTTAAGAAACTCTAAGTGCAACGCTTAGGTTTTTATGTCAAATTCCTAAGTAAACAAATTAAACCTAATTTCTTTTTCCATACATTATTTCCACAATCAAATCACTCAGATGATTGCCAAAATGATTAAGCCAAAACATATAACTTCGTTAGGCCTACGGTGAATACAATAAGAAATGATCATTTTATTGATAAGATTGTGGAATGTTTAAATTTCTAGCCGTAAGTACTGCACTTATGGAAAACCAATGCCAAAACCTGGGAAGGGACCATAAAAGGTTCCTCATCACATTTAGGCGTGAACTTAAGTAACAGAGTCCAATTCTCGCGGACGCACAAGTTAGGCCTCTTACCACAAAGCAAATTGGCATTATCAACAAAATTATAGTATGTTGTCAAATTAACGCTAACCACTAACACCTAATTAATTGTTTGGGCCTCAAAATTGAAGTAAACTTTCATGCTCTATAATTGAGAGAAGAAGAAAATTGAAAGGTTACACTATAACCATTCTCAAGTTTCACACACATGCTCAAGCTATAGACTAGCAAGGATCATTCAATGGAAAAACAGCCTCCCAAAACAAAGCTAAATCTATAATCTATACCGGTGATTTATCACAGGAAAATAACCAGAGGAAATGCAAGGAGAACTTAAATGAAGACAATCCATACCTCTTTGTTATCAGTGACCTTGAGAACCAATTTACCATCACAATGCCTGTACTTCATGACATAGCGCGTCTACATCATCAATTCCATCCAAAGAAATGAAAAAGATTAAAAGAAAATATTATCCAAATCATCATCAAATTGAACTCACAAATTCAAGCAGATAAAATTCTTCAAATAATCTATTTAATTTCCGATAATAATAAAGTAAAGAAGAAATTCGATTAGAATCATCTATTCGCCGCGGCTATTTTGCTAACCTTAATTTTCCGTTAATTTTCTCGAGAACCAATCAAAATTCAACCGCAAGAGTGAAATGGAGGAGGAGAGTAACATACAGATTCAGGATCGGCACGGAACAACTGTACTGATCGGTCAACGAACTCGTCCCACGAAGTAATATAAACCATTGTGTGAAAGAAACAGAGAGATCGAAGAAGAATTTCAAGAAACCAAGCAGCTACCAATTAACGCCGTCGCAGTCGAGAGCGGCACAGTGTTTGAATTTTTCTTTTTCGGTTTCGGGAAAGGAGGGGTTTAGGGACGGTGGGTTTTCAGGCAATGTAATTCGCAGAAGATCCCATTTTGACCACTTGATATTCCAGCCAATCAAACTTTTCCACGTAAGCAAAAGTCAACAGATGGAACCACCATGACCTATGGGTCCAGGTATTGCATATTCGGGTTACGTGGATGTCCAAACCCTAAACGTCGTCGTTTCCATTGGAACTGAAACGTTGACTATATGGCTTCTTCTCCATCACCACCCCGAGGAGGCTAAAAGCTCCGAAAGAGTTGCAGAGATGGTGAGAGATCATGAAACAGAGGCAACGAAGAAGGACTCTGCTCCTTTACCTTTTGCTCTTGCTTCTTTCGGTTGGACCCTTGGCAAGTACTTCTCCATAAGCAATTTTTCGCTTCTCTTCCAAGAGTTTTCAGAGATTCTGCATTTTTTCTTTAGCAACTTCTCAGTTCATATTTCTTCTTGTTGTTGGGTACTTAGGAATTTTAGGAATCTGGGTATTGATCTATCACATTTTTTCAGCTGTTTGCTTCTTTTGGCAATGGTTTTTACCTCTCAAATTGCTTCTTGGAGCAGCCTTAAAGTTAGTCAATCTCACCATTTTAGCTTCTCCTTCATTCTTTCTA